TGTGTGTGTGTGTGTGTGTGTGTGTATATACACAAATTATATTTATATATAAAAACCATGAAGTCTATTTAATTTAACTTCTGTGACATTCTCTTCTATTATTGTTACTGGTGATTTTCTTCCCAGCCTATTTGTAGCCAAAAGAAAAAAATATCTGCCTTATCTTCAGAAGACAAGGATAGGATTGAAGGGGGGCCTTTCCTTCATCAGAATGAGGATTTAACCCTTTCCTGTCAACCCTAGTACATCCAGGTGACAAAAAAAAATGTTTTTAAGGTAAAGGAAAGAAAACGGCTAACCTGCATAGATCTGGCCAGAAGGATGGCTGGTACAGTTGGAACAAAAGAATGCCAAAATTGGGGAAAAAGCTAAATCCCCTTAGACAAGTAGCATCATAACAATTCTAAGGCATTTTTCCAGAGCAACCGGGAGAATAATATCTACCACAGGTTACCCTTCTTTCATTATAGGAATATGTCTTAGTTGCCAAGGCTAAATATTATGATCAATTTCTACTAATAAATTATGGAAGGGATTTGGGAGTTGCACCAAAGCTTCAAGTGTGCTGGAAATTCCCCAACCTTGCCATAAATGGATGTCTAATGAACTGCTAGTAATATTTATTTATGTCCCGCCCTTCCTCCTCCTATTTCTCCCACTACAACCCTGTGAGGTAGTTTAGACAGAGAGAGAAGGAGAGTGGCTGGTCCAAGGTCACCCAGCTGGCTTTTAGAGATTAATTGTGTGAATTATTTAAAGTGGATACTTACTTTGCACCACTACCTGATTACTTGGCACCAGTATCTGCTGGCCATCGGATGTCTGCACATACTGCAATAACGGAGTCCCAGTAGCATTTGTGAAGGTCTGTAAGCTCTGCACACTCTCCGCCCCAGGACTGCTCAGCTGTAATGGTCCATTTGGGGCAATGGCAACTTCAAAACCAGACAGAGCAAAACAAGGGAGATGCTGAATAGCGCATAGTATAAGATAAGCAATTCTAAGCAAGAAATTTCTTTTCTTTTGGACAGTCCCCCAGGAATATTCCATTAAATACAGTCTCTTGCCTAAAAATAAGTAATAAAGTAATATTCAAATGGACATTTAAAAACATTTTCTCAATGCTGGGTTATCAGATCACATGTTTTGAATGAATAAGTATTTAGTATGAGGAAAAAATATGCTTTTTAACTCATAATAAATAATGATTGAATTTAAAACATTTCCAAAATTATTGCTTTGTTTTCCTGATAATACATAATTTTGGAAGGGATTGTAATTCTGAATTAAAATCGTGGGTGTTAAACCTACACAGTGTAGAGACTTATTAATTAATACATACTATATTGACCAGTGCTGGTCTGATAAACAGGTGCAGTGACAGGCACTGAAGTGACAACAGCATTCGATTCATCTCCTTTCCTATCCCTTGTGTCTTCAGAAGAAAGATCGTTCAAGATTTTTCTATAAAAAAGCAACACAACGTATCAGATATATACTGCTGGAAGAAAAAACATGTGCTGAATAAAATAGCTACATTATTGTTATATTGATTATTACAATATGTACAATTTTAGGCACATTGTCTTTTTTTTTCTAATTCAAGCAGAGCCTTATAAAACTAAAACCCTTTCATTAAAAAGATCGCTAGTGATGCATATTTTTGAATTCTTTTGCCTTGAATATGTTACAGAAAGGTACAATAAATGTAATAAAAAGATTGAAGATGAATACTCTGTACAAGACAGGTAGCATTTGCTTGGGAAGCCGTATTAAAGCCTAGATTCCGTCACTGAAAATATCCTAACAGATAGCCAGGAAAGTCTAAGCAGTCTCAGAAGCAGACTGAAGTCCTTGCACAAGCTCATAGGCAAATTTGGAAGTTGGGAGATACTGCCATATAGTGTTGTTGTTGTTGTTGTTGCATACACCTCATCTTTTCCAGAGAACTTAAAGAGCAACTATGAGGGAGGGCATGGCTTTTCTAAGTTTATCCCTACAATAGTCCTGAGTCAGGTAAAGCTCAAAGAGAGAAGGGATACATCGGCAGGGTATAGAAATAAAAGGAATGCAGATAAAAAAAGAAAAATAGAAACTAGAGGCATTTGCAGATGACCTGGTATTTATCGTAGAGGAACCGCAAACAACTGGACTCAAATTAATGAAGAAAATAGATGACTGTGGGGAAGTTGCAGGATTGAAAGTAAACGAAGAGTAAACTAAAATTCTAGTCAAAAACTTTACAAATAAACAAAACGGAGAAGATAGACATTTTCAGTATGTGAAAAAATTAAGGAAAAACACTATTTGAAAATACCAGTCTGGCTCTCTATGATGGAGGCATTTGATACATCCAAATGTGGTTGATATGGAAAAAAATCATAAGATATAAAGATATTTTGAATGAGAAAGGGGAATAGTCTCAAGGGATAAATTTAGCATGGTGGCCGCAGGTACAAATTCAATCAAGATATGGAAAAAAAGTGTTAAATTATATGGTTTTCATTAAAAAAAAAAACAGAATTGGACCAGATTCTAATAGGAACTGATGAAAAATTAATTTTAAAAGATTACACTTACCTATTGAGTATTAGAATAAAAGAAGAGCAAGTAAAAGAAACAATGATAGTGTGGGCTAAATACTTTGATTATTCTATAGAATTGGATAAATGGCGAAAGTTGTAGGATCGAAATTATAAATTAACAATGTCAACTGCATACAAAGAAAATTTATATAAAACGTTCTACAGATGGTGCTTTCCACTAGCAAGATTACCCAAGATGTATAAAGATATGTCAGCTAAATGTTGGAAGTATAATCAGACTCCACTACATGTAGTGGACATGCCCAAAAGCAAAAACATATTGGACAAAAATACATATTTGGATAGAAAGAATGATAAAGGAACATGTAGATTTAAAACCAGAAATATTTCTGTTGGGTATCATACCAGAAAAATACTGTATAATAAAGGGACTATATACTTAATATTACATGGGTTAACAGCGGCTAGAATTGTATTTGCACAACATTGGAAAGGTGTGGAGATCCCCACAGATAAGAAGATAGTAAAAAAAATACTAGAATGTACAGAAATGGATAGATGTTAAAAAAAAATTGAAATTAAAGAGAAAGAAGATACTAAATATTTTGAAACATGGGATTCATTTTATCTATGGTTAAATAACAGAAACAGAAGTTAGAATATTTAAAATTATAAATGAAGGATTAATTTTACCATGAGGGTTAATTATATGTTTATTATCAATATTAACAAATATTAATATTATATTGAGAAAATATTGTTATTATCTGATCACTACTAATGAATATTATGATGATGATTGCTCAAACTAACTGTAACCAGACAGCACTGTTTATATAGACATTGAAATTGTTGCTCTTTCTTTATATAGTAAAAATAAAATAAAAAATATTTCAGGGAAAAAAAAGAGAAGGGCTTGCCCAAACTCACCCAGTTGACACAGAAGTTGGGTTTTCTTGACACAATCTAACAATTTACTATACTCCACTTACTGACTCCCTGAAATTCAGGCTATAGATACAAAACAAATCGGCAATCTGTGGCTGTTGGCTGCAGAAAATACAGGATCCTTAACCAATAGCAATAAAACTTATATACTGTTTCACAGTGCTTTACAGCCCTAAAAAGTTTACAGAGTCAGCATATTGCCCCCATCAATACAGGTCCTCATTTTATCGACCTCGGAAGGATGGAAGGCTCAGTCAACCTTGAGCCAGTTAGGATCAAACTCCCAGCAGTCGGTAGAATGAGTCTGCAATACTGCATTCTAACCACTGTGTCATGCCACCAATTAGCCAGAAAATCAGCTAGCAATCTATGTGGCTCTCAGACATTAAAATATTTCCCTCACATGATTTAAGTTTTCACATAACGGAACAAAAAATTGGAATTAGTAAATGTTTGGTTCTAAACATGATTTTTGATATTTTGAACCAACCAAAGCTGTTGGACAGTCTGCAAGGGCAGCGTCATACATAGCATATTACTATAATCTAAGTGGGAGGTGATTACATGGAACTGATTAAGATAGTTCGGGATTTTTTCCACCCAAGAATGGCCACAACAATCACATATGATAATACTGATGAAGATCATTCTCAGTCACTGTAGTAATATGGCCAGCTAGAGAAAAAGTTCTAGCAGTGGGAAGAGATCCAGAAGAAAATTCCACTCTCTTCTACATTATCTGCTTATTTGCTTTCAATCACAAATACATACTCAAAACAAGATTTAGAAATGGAACATGAAGAATAGCAGTCTCGTTTTTTTTCCTTTTTGAAGTATCTAAGTCAGAGTCATGACTTTCTCCGAGGCTTCAGTGCAAATGCTGAAGAATGGAAATAAAATCTAACTCCATAATGCAGTATGCTTGCTATTCAGGAAAAGTTCTAGAGAAATTTGCAAAGTTCAATACTCAGAATGGCACCTACTGCATTTCTCTACTGCAAAACAAAGATTATTGTGCAAAATAATTCTTCTCCTATCGGACACTTTCTTTTATCAGGAAGTACTACAATCTAGACTTGTAACAAGCACTGTCACCTTGAAATGTTCTAACCTCAAAATAGTTGAAAGTTCTGAACATGAAACAAAACAATGTGTTTTGAAAGTTTAGCTGAAACCATGAAAGAAAAAAACACTATATACAGTTTTCTGACTATTCCAAACACTGTAACTGGGCTATTCTTACATCCTGTGGCTGGACTGCTTTTTTCTAGAAGCAGGGAACAAAAAGTGTTGTTAATGCCGCTAAGGCTGTATACATTTAAGAACTACTATTACAGTGGTGATTTAGTTGGTTTGATGGTTGTTTGGTTTTATTTTTTTATGCTCTTTTATAATACTAATATGCATCCAGTTAAGAAACACTAGAAGTCACAATAGATAAACTAGAAAACACAACAGATACAAACTCAAGGTAAACTGCACCAAACTTGATTGCAGGAAATACGACTTCAGCAACAGAAGGGTCAATGTCTGGAATACTCTACCTGGCTCTGTGGTTTCTTCCCCAACCCCCAAAAACTTTAACCTTAAACTGTCTACTATTGACCTCACCCCTTTCCTAAAAGGTCTGTTGGGAGCGTACATAAGCACATCAACGTGCCTACCATCCCTGTCCTTATGTTCCTTTTTATTTGTATCCATTTCATGTATTCATAATCATGTTTATACTTATATCTGTTATCAAATACATGCTTGACAAATAAAATAAATAAAATAAAAGTCTTTTAATAACTTTATTTGTTTTGTCACCAGCAATTACTCCTCACAACACAGAACTTTTGTGATGTGTAGGGCTGCAAAATTGCAAAAAATAAAAATGCCTACAGAATGTTGGCCAAGATTTTTAAAAATCAAATCATTAAGAAAACTTAATAGGGAAGCAACTGTCAAAAAAAAGTGACCTGGTGGATTCATTTAAATATAAAATAATAATCAGAAGAGTTTTAAAAAACTTAAATTGTTTTAAATTTTTGCAAATATCTTCAATATCTGGCAAATAATTGATTTTGTGGAGCTGTGAAAGGAGGGATCCCTAGGGGTTTTTGGACCATACTTTAAGAAACACTGATTTAAAAATGGTTGGTTCTTTCTGTAGTGAGGCTTCTTAAAAAAACAGGCACTATCTAATCAGTCTTTTTCAGTTAGTGAAATCGATGTGCTCATCATTTCCTAAGGAAATTTATCCATTCCAAAAATGATTTTAATTATGTCCTTGACTATTTCTTGTTGCCTTTTGGCTAGTATAGATGAGGCCAAAAGAATTGATACGCTTCTATGTTTTTCTCCAAAGAACCCAATTTGCTAGGAAATATTATTTTCCATAATCATTCCAGTACAGATCTGAGAAAAAAATATTTTAGTATAAAATAGAGACCTGTAAGATGGACGACGTGCTAAGAGTCCTCTTGCTTTTTGGGAAGAGTCCATGCTATCTGAAGAATCTTGTGAATCCTCATTTTCGGATAATGACACCTGAAATAAATCAACTGTCATTTTGTTGAATGTTATAAGAGACCATATGATGCACCATTTCTTCTATGCCAATTTTAAAAATGACAGCAGCCTTTCAAAAATTTGCAGAAAAAAATATTATTCTATGCTTAGGGTAAATAAATGTATTCAAAAAAAGTGTTATTTGTTTTTTAAACTAGAATCTGGACTGTAAAATATTTATAGATTCCAGTAACTTTATGTGCAGATTCAAAGGCAAAAGATTGGAGCTTTCTCATGTTGATCAAACAAAACAAAAAAGATTTAAAACATATTACAGTTATATTGCAAAGCAGTGTTAGCATTAAAACAGGTAGTATTATTTTTCCCAATAATTTTATTAAAGATTATAATGTACAAGTAAAACATATGCAACTAGGTAATAAAGAAATTAAAAAGTGCATAAAAAGGAAGAGATTAAAACCACAGCAAGAATAATCAACATTAAGAACTTAGTACTATCTCTTAAAGTAAAATCAGAGATTTCTTCATTCCATATCTCATCCCAGTTCTTACAAACTCATCTCTAAAAATTCATCTCTCCCTACTAAATGGCAAACATCCAGAAAGGATTATCAGAAATAACTTCATAAATACTACAAACTGTATCTATTGTACCCAATCTGAATCCTTCCTTCATCCTTTAAACAAGGGCTGTCAAACTTCCGGCCCATAGGCCAGATGTGTCACGTGCTGGCCATGCCCCCGCCTAGTTTAGCAAATGGAAAAAAGTCCCAATACGTCACGTGACACCACCGTGATGGGAGTTTAACACCCCTGCTTTAAACAAATCACCATTTGCTCTCTTCAAATAATCAAATTCAGTCCTACTCAAAAAACAACATTATCAGAAATAACCATTGTCATCCAGTCCTACTGTAATCAAGAAGCCATTAAGCATCCCCCCAAATAACAAACCCATTATTTTAATCTAGGTCAAATAAATCAATTTTGTGTTCTTTTTTCTTCTGCAAATAATATTTAAATTCTTTAAAGAACGTTCTAGCATCTGTCTTTATACTCTCCTCCTATCTCAAAATTCTTGTTTTCATCTTTATCAAGTCCCCTGTATATTTCCAATATAGCAACTCCAGTAAAACATTCGTGTAAATTCAATATAAGAAAACAATCCAGATCACTCATCTGGTTTGTTATTAGTACTTTTTCAATTATTGAACCATTGTCTTTTACTTGTAAATTCATTTCTTCCATCTTCTTGTAAGCTGTAATTTTTAATTCAACTTGTACATCAGTTTCAGTTCAATCTTTTAAATATGTTTTATTAATTTTCTACAAAATATTTTAAATACCAGTATGGAGTTAAGAAGGCAAAAAATTGGAAAGGGGAATTTGCAAGAGAATAAAAAAAGAAAAAAAATAGGAGGATAACTTTCAGTTTTCCTCAATACAATTACAAATATAAAATACATTAACCTCTTGATATAAAGTTCAATAATATACATTATTTATATAATCATCAACAATTATAAACATCAGATCCCAAAATTAATATAGCATTTCTTTGGGTTTCCAGAAAAAAGTCCAAAAGTAGTTTCACACAGAAACAAAACTGGACAAAAATGTTTCTTTAATCAAAGTAGTTAATTTCGCCAGCCAGTTCCATTAACTTCATTATCCATTCTTCCATTGTGGGAATTTGTCAGTCTTTCCATATCTGTGCAAGTCTTGTGGCAGTTATCATATATAAAAAGAGTCCCATGTTTTTTCTCCCAATGCTTATCCATCAAACCTAAAAGAAAAACCTCTGGTTTCAATTGTACATTTGTTTTAAGAATTTTCTGGATTAAAGTACATATTTATTCCAGTAACTCTTAATCTTCTTATATGTTCACCAAAGGTGATAAAAGGTACCTTCAGAGCGATTACATTTCCAACATATGTTTGACCCATCATTATACATATTTGAAAATTTATTAGGTGTTGTTGTTGATCAACTCTTCACACCTCTATGGATCATAGTATGACAGGCCCTCCCCTGTCCTCCACTACATCCCAGAGTTTGCCCAAATTCAAGTTCAGTGCGTTAATGACACTATCTAACTGTCTACGCTGCTGTTCTATTCTCTTCTCATTAGATGGACAAAGTATTTGAGCTTATATTGTTATAAATCAGGGGTGTCAAACAGGACTTCTCTGAGGACCGGATCAACGTTGTACTTCTCCTCCATAGGCCAGCTGGGTGATGGTGCAGATGGGAATAATGCCTCCTGCCAGCCAAAACGGGGTGCGAGGGGGCATATCCCATTTTGGCTGACAGAGGCACTACGGACCTGTCCTTTGCTATTTCCAAGCCAGTCCTACGGGCCAGATTTAAGCATCCCATGGGCTGGATCTGGCCCATGGGCCTTGAGTTTGACACCCCTGTTATAAATCAACCAACCAACAAATAAATAAATGTTCACTTTATAAATAATACAATTAACCATCAATTACTTACATAAATGTATGCTATTTAAGTTTTATTTCTGTACTGCTGCAAAGAAAAAAAATACATGAAACTTGTCTATAAACTCACCAGAATTCAAGCTTGACTTAAGAGGAACTTTATTTATTTTTTTTAATGAAAGGCTAAAGTATATAAATACAAACTTTTAGTAAAAGCTGAAACTAAGCTATATACGGATATGAACAATGTACCTGTATTGATTGTCCTTGTGGTGAGTGAATCACAGAGGAGGTCTGAGCTGTATGAATGACTCCCTGGACTTGATCTCCAGACAGATGTACCACTGTTAGTGGAGTTGGACCTCTAAGAGACATCTAAGAGAAAGTAGTAGTTTAGTCTCCATATTCACTATCAATGGAATGAAAAGTATAGTTAAATAAATATTTACTCTTATGTAAGTAACATTTCAGTTGTAACACAGAAGAACTTAATGTTAGTTTATTATTTTTTATTTGTTACCCTTATTTGCAGTCTATCTCATCATGGGTTTACTCTAGGACAGGGATCCCCAACCCCCAGTCCATGGACCAGCCCCGAGCTGCGGCATGTTAGCAACCAGGCCACACAAACAAGAAAAGTCCCATCCACAGGATGCAGGCAGCCCCCTTCCAGTCCACAGAAAATCCTTTTTCACAGAACTAATCCTAGTGCCCAAAAGTTTGAAGGCTGCTGCTCTAGGAGGCTTAATGATAAAAAGGGAGAAAAGGAAAGGAATGCAAATAGAAGTAAAATAATAGAACAGTAAAATAAAGAATGACAAAGGAACACAACAAGATAATGTATCAGTATGATAACCAAAAAGATGGATGGTTAGAAAGCAGAGAGCAAGGAGGAGGAGGAGGAATTTGCCTTCAATTTAGCAGCCACCTCCAGAGACTTAATGAACATTAAGTCAGGCTGTCCAGATTGAAACATTGAAAAAAACTCCATTTAAACAAATATAATGTATTCTAAGAACTATATGTACTTTATGTAAGACTACATCAGGTATCTTCAGTTTGCCAGCTTTCAGTATTTGCTAATCTCATTTACTAAATCTAATTGCTTACTTAAACTCCATGTTTCAAACAGCAAACAAATATTTATCCACAATCTCATACAAAAGTTCTTCCTGAAAAATCATTATACATAGGGAAACCAAAAAAATCAACTTGTTTACATTCTTGAGTTTTAGGAAGCAATCAAAGTCAACTGGACTTTTTGGGGGATATGTGCATACAACTTTCTGGGTTTTTATGGCTTCTTGGCATAGGAATACTTTATTATTACTGTGTTCAATTCAGATATATTAATGTTTGCTTTTTAATCTGGCATTTTTAATCCTAACCCATGGTAGAGATATAAATTGCTCACAGCCATCCATAAATTGTACAGTAGTGGCCAAAATTGTGGAAATCTTTTGGGAAAAGTGTATTTTTATGTCATCACTACCAAACAGGGAAATCTTGGTCTGGTTATTCCAAATAACACTGTCCCATTGTTCCTCTGTCCAGGTAATATGGGTTTTGGCCCAGTTTAGTCTTTTCAATCTTTGTTTGAAAGATAAAAGTGGCTTTTTTCGTGGAATTCTAGATTTTAGGCTAAATTCCTATAGTCTGCACCTAACAGTCC